GGAAGTTCCAAAGGTGCACAGCCATGTTTAGGCTCTAGGATTGCCTTCATCTTTTATAGATTATTCTACCTGGCTCACTTTTGCGACTTACCTTTGCTTTTTTTCCCAGTCCTGATCATTCCTACCTAGTCTTTTTCTCTTTTTCTCTCATCCTTCACTATTGTTTCTTTAACTTCTTACTCTGGAATCATTAATTTTATTCTAAAACTGGTCCATCCTGGCCAGGTGGGCATAAAGGGATGGAAATCCAGGTGCAGCTGACTCTGGGTCTACATACCAAGATGGCACTTCACTCTGGCTCTTCACCAGCAAATACCTCCCTATGTTTGGTTCTTCTGGAAAGAAAAGAGAAAGATGAGCACTCTCATACATCAGCCTCATTAACTTCGACAAAGAAGGGAATTAAGTCTGTCCTTCAACATGGAGTTGAAACTTTTTATTGCTTATATGAGTGATATAAATTATATCAAAGTTTGCATTTCAAAACATATACAAGAGTATTTTATGATTCATTTAAAGCTAGATGAAATGAGTTAGATTTTGAGGGCTGATTTTTATTTTTCCCTTTGACTCTGAGGGAGATATTTGTAGAATTGAAAGGAGAGTACTTTGAAAAATAGGTGAATGTATTGAGAGCTGAATGTTTGATAGCTAGAATGAGAAAATTGTACATATAGAACATATATTAGCTTGGGTATTTCTTAAAATAGAACGTTGTCCTATCACAGATGTAACAAAATAAATAACTTTTCAGGACTGCTTTTTCACAAATGCATAATTCATTTCAACTCCCACCTTTTCTTTGCTTTTAGCCATCGTCTAGAATATTTCAAGCCTTTTACTTTTAACACACTGTTTGGAAAAGAATGGAGACAACCAGAATCAGACCTGTGGCTAATAGAGAAACCTGACGTACAGGCGTACAATCAATAATTATATCAGTCATTGTTCCTCTATACCTTTTAAGGTAAATCAATAAGTACAGTCTCTTTCAGACACCATGGACGCTTTTCAACAAAAAATATTTTCATAGTGGTCACCATAAATGTAGTATCTCTGTGGAAGATTGTGTATGATTAACAAAATAGAGAGTTTATAGATAAAATCGATTTTATCTTTAGTTAAAATGTTTCTCAGAGTCATTTAGTCCAGTCATTCTACCTTCTGCCCTGTATCACCGTCACCCCAAAATCCCTATTCTGTCAATCAAAATCATTATTTATCTCCCCATTTCTTTATATTTTAGCCAGCCTAAGACTAAGAAATCTTAACTGAAAATTTTTAAGCTCCAAGTAATATAGAGTATTTTTTTCTATGAATCTACTACCCATTCTTGAAGTTAGTAGAAAACATTGTCCTGGTTCAGTTGAACAAGAAGTCTACATCTGTTAAGATGTCACTAAGATACACGAGTTATGTAAACAACTGTTTTTTTCTGACTTGAGACTGTTTATGACTGTTCAGAAAGAAATGAAGTAGTCTTATATTCAGGCAGTGGACTCTACTTTCATTTACAAATAAGTGACTTTTTTGCATATAAAGAGTTTATTTTAAATCTTTTAAGGATAAGATAGAGTTACATCATAATTATAAAAGTTACTTACAGAATTAACAGATTCATATTGACATTTTTAGTACCATTAATCAAGATGTTAAAATGTATTTATTTTATTTTCAAAGTGGCAAATAATTCTATTACAGAATCTCAAAATTTTGTGTTGTAATGTTTCACAGTTCAAAGGCTTCTAGTAAATTATCTGTGAGCGTCTTCACCAAACTTAGTCCTTCTCAGCATTCTTAACTCAAAGGCCAGCAGCTTTCCAAAAACTGAAGCTTTGTTACTTGTGGAGACCCCTGGTTACCTACCCAACAGTGTACTGTCTCCTATTCTTTACCAACAGAAATAGAGTATGCTCTACTTAGAGACTACTTTTTTACAAAACTGTGACAAGAAGCATGTTTGCCCATGGCATCCAGGAAGCAAAGAGAAAAGAAGGAGCCAGGGTCCCAGTATCCTCTTTAAGGGCATGTCCACAATGATCTAACTCCCTTCCACTAGGCTCCACCTCCTAAAAGTTCTGTCACCTCCCAGTGGTGTCACAGTTGGGGACCAAGCCTTCAATGAGTCATTAAAAATAAAAAAGATTTTTTTTTTTATCCATTCATCTGTTGAAGGGCACCTAGATTGATTCCATAGTTTAATTATTGTGAGTTGAGCTGCTATAAACATTGATGTGGCTGCATCACTGTAGTTTGCTGATTTTAAAAGTCCTTTAGATATTTATATACAGGAGTGGGATAGCTGGTCAAATGGTGGCTCCATTCCAAGTTTTCTGAGGAATCTTCATACTGGTTGTATGGAGATTCCATAATGGTTGTACCAGTTTGCATTCCTACAGGCAATGTATGAGTGTACCTTTTCCCCCATATCCTTGCCAACATTTACTATTGTGTTCTTGATAATTGCCATTCTGACTAGGGTGAGATGAAATCGTGGAGTAGTTTTAATTTGCATTTCTCTAATTGCTAAAGATATTGAACATTTTTTCATGTATTTGTTGATCAATTGTATTTCTTTTTCTTTGAAGTATCTGTTCAGTTCCTTAGCCCACTTATTGATTGGGTTATTGGGTGTTTTTTTTTTTTTTTAGTGTTACATTTTTTTAGTTTATTATATATCCTGGAGAATGCTGCCCTGTCTGAGGTGCATGTGGCAAAGATTTCCTCCCATTCTGTAGGCTTTCTCTTCATATCTCAATTGTTTCCTTTGCTGAGAAGCAGTTTTTTAGTTTGAGGCCATTCCATTTATTGAATCTTGATTTTACTTCTTGCACTTTAGGAATCTTGTGAAGGAAGTCAGATCCCAAGCTGACATGGTGAAGAATTGGGCCTGCTTTTTCTTCTGTAAGGCACAGGATCTCTGTTCTAGTGGCTAAGTCTTTGATCCACTTTGAGTTTTCTGCAGGGTGAAAGATAGGGGTTTAATTTCATTCTGTCCCGAGTAGCTTTCCAATTTTTCCAGCAGCACCACTTGTTGAATAGGCTATCTTTTCTCCAGTAAATGTTTTGTACCATTGGCCTCTGTGTCAGTTTTGGTGGCAATATCATGCCGTTTTTGTTACTATAGCTCTGTATTATAGTTTAAGGTCTATTGTTGTGATTTCTCCTGCTTCACTCTTCTTGCTAAGGATTACTTTGGCTATTCTGGGTCCCTTATTTTTGAAAATGAATTTCATGATTGCTTTTTTCTGATTCTATGAAGAATGTCATTAGAATTTTAATAGGAATTGCATTGAATCTGTATAATGCTTTTGGTATATTAATTCTGCCTATCCAGGGGCATGGTAGGTATTTCCATCTTCTCAGGTCTTATTTAATTTCTTTCTTTAGTGTTCTATAGTTTTCATTGTAGAGGTCTTTGCAGGTAAATGGATGGAGCTGGAGGATATCATGCTAAGCAAAATAAGCCAATTCCAAAAAACCAAAGGCCAAATGTTTTCTCTGATATGCAGATGCTAATTTACAATAGGTGGGGATGAAGAATAGAGGTACTTTGAACTAGGCAGAGGGAAGTGAAGGGAGGGGAGTGGATGTGGGGATAGGAAGAACAGTAAAATGAATTAGACATTATTACTCTATGTAAATATATAAACATGACTGGTGGGATTCTACATCATGTACAGTCAGAAGCATGAGAAATTATACTCCATCTCTGTATGATTTATCAAAGTGCCTTCTACTGTCATGTATAACTAATCAGAACAAATAAAAATAAATAAAATAAATAAAGAAGTCCTGATACATGTAACAACCTAAATGAAGCTCAAAAGTTTTATAGAACAAAATAACCCAGAATAACATACTATATAATTTTTATTGTTAAGATCAGTTATAGATAAAACTAGCATATGGTTATTGATATTAGAATGGTAATTCCTGTGGGTGAGGGCAGGGGATTCAGTTTGCCTGGAAGAGGAGTACAAGGGAATGATCTGGTATGATTGTGGTGTTTTACATAATTTTGTCAACATATGGCTGCATAAATTTGACAGCATTTCTTAGATGTATATTTAAATTTGTGATGTTTATTTAAAATATGCCTTAATAAAATAAGCTGGAAATTAAATAGTTAATGTTAAGTTTATTTGAGTTTATAATCATCCATTGAACAGTTACTGGTGCTAGTTAAATATGGTTCAGCAATTCCTTCTTTTCATTTATTAAATATGTTCTCTATCTGCAAAGAGAACTGGTGTGACATAAATGCTGACTTTTCCAAAAGGAATCTTTAAGTGTCTTGTGACCACCTATCCTGGTGGCAGTGTTAGGCATCTTAGATGAATTCAGAAAATGATTTTAAAATCGATAATAGCAACTAAGGTGTTTGATATAGTAACTGTCTGCCAGTTTCAGATAGAAAAGGTCTATTTAAAATAATGTCAGTTGATTAATTTATAAATCACTGGAAATCATTTTATAATGAATATAAAGCTATTGAAATGAAAAAAATAGACAGAGTATCCTGATTTTTTAATCCATCACTTTGAATCATAGCTTCAGATATTAAGCATAACTACTTATATATTCGGAAAAATAAAGCACAAATACAGATAGTCATACCATACAAAGCATTGAATTTGAATATTATGGTTTGTGAGCTTTCTAAAGCTATTCACCTATTTCTTTTATCTAAGATGTTTTTAAAACATCTAGATAAGAAATATTTTTCTTTTTCCAATACCAAGCAAGCAAAAAAATATAAATATTTTCTTTTGTAAGGAACACTACATTCAACCACAGAATTTTGGAAAGTTTGTCCATTAGTCAGAAACAAATAATGTACTATAGAAACTCGATATTTGAAAATGGGTGTTAGTAATAGCTGTTTCAAATTTGTTTTTCAGTTTCAGGACCATGAAAGAATGATCATTCCTGTGTTTAAAATATGCACAGACGCATTTCCTTGCACTGTTCTGAATTGTTCTCGGCAGCAGAAGTAGTCTCTCTTGTCACCACCTGAATAGATTACACAGTGTGTATTTATTCAGGTGCTTTCTTGTGCTTTTCCCCAACTCCAATAAAATATAAGTCACAGTCCAGAGAGAAATATGCCTTTTTATTTTTAGTTTCAAATTATTTTTTTTAACATTGTAATATTTTTGCCACAGAAAACCATTTAATCATTCCTCCTCCTCTTCTGCCCCTTCTCGTCTTTCTCTCCTCCTCCTCCTCCACCTGCGCCTCTTCCGCCTCCGCCTCCTCCTCCGCCTTTGAATGTTAGGCTTTGTGGGAACAGAGGATAATGAATAAACTTAATCTGATTTTCAAAAAGGAAAAGTAGCAGTAACTGGGTGGTGCAGTTGCAGTAAGTCTCGAGGACTTTGACTCACACTTTGAAGCCCAAGGATTGTCCCTTCTTTCCCATCCAAGTTCCCACAGTATTTTACACGTTGCACTACAGCACTTACCTGCCACGCATTGGAAAGCTCTTCTGATGCTCTTCCCATCTTCTCAGCCTTTTTCCTCCAGAAACCAATTGTACACTGTGAACTGACCAGCAGTTGCCTGGGCTGCCCAGTGCATCCCCTGCTTCCTGCCCCCAGGGCCTCTCTACTACATGGACCTCCTGCTGGAGTCCACTTGGCTGTTCTCACACATGAGCTACTCATAGCATACAAAAGAGCTTGCACCACAGGACAACTCCTGACCAAGGATGAGAACGGACACATTCTTCTCTTTTCCCTTCCTCTGATTGACAACACTGAGGTCCCTTCCCACATCTAATAGCACACCTTGCATTGTCTTTCCCTCATTTTATCATTTCCCATTTTCTCTTCCCAGCCTCCCTCCTGTTTGGAATTACTTAGCCAAAATCAATATCTGTGCAAGCCATTGTCCCTGGTTTGTTTTATTGAGAATCCAGGCTAAGTTGATTGATACCTAAACTGACTCGAAAGCAGCCCATCAAGGAGGGAATCTGGGATGGTATTACCCAGTGTACTTGGTGGGAAGGACTCCATTTCTGGTGGTAATGAGCCTGGTGGGGTCACGTGACAGTTACTGAGACTCCTGTTGGGTAGAAGACTGGCTCGAGGTGCAGGCGAGGTGCCCATTGCGGTGAAACATGAGCGTCTGTGACAGGTAGCACTTGTCATAGAGACAGTAGGAAGAGTAAGGACTGTGGAGTTGCCTGATTTCTGAAAAAGGCTTTAGAAGCCTTGAAAAAAAAGGAGCCAATGACAAGCTCAGGCCCACTGTGAGAGCTGCATGGCAGCATTTAAATAACCCTTGTTTCTATCAGCTGCAGGGCAGGCTATGGGACCCTGCTCTCCAGGTTTAATGGTAAAAGTAGCTATGATTGCTTAACCTTGGCAGGTTTCCTGTGTTGAAGTGGGGGCTTTATAAGCCTGAGACCTGGGATGGGATGTTTGTGTGAATGAGCCTGTTATAATGTATCTTGAATCCCAGACACTTGTGTGCTCTCTACAGTAGCAGAGAAGCTTCATTACCTCTTTTTATTATTATTGTTATTATTTTTTGTAGGTGATTACCCTCAAACTTGATGGCGAGGACCCTATGATAGGTCATATATTGTTGTGAATTATCAAGTTATACTAACATGTGCCTAGAAGCACCACAAAAGTAACCTGAGGCAGGTTTTGCATAAATAATGCTCTTCTCTTCAAATATGCCTTCAACTCTCTTCATTTCCTCAATTTGAATTCCCTGAATTATGGAAAAGCCTTTGTTAGCAGATCTGGGAGCCTACTTAATCCTTCACTTATACTCTAGAGAATTATCCTTAAGGACAAATATTGAAGAATTCCTGACGGATGGTTTGACTGGTTAGTTATGGGCAAAATCTGAAGTTGGGAGACAAGGAAGTCTGGAAAAGAGACCTGTGGATGAACTTAAGGCAATGAGCAGAAATCACAGGTATTCACGTAATGTCTTCCATTAATTCCCACTAAAGAAAATCCACTATAGAGGAGGCCCTCAACCAGGTAGACAAAGTGACTTAACCACTGTCCTTGGCCACCATAAGTTTGCCCAGTTATCCATGAACAAAATAACTCTGGTGACTGGGCTAGAATCTGTGAACAGGCCCAATAGTGTATATTCCTGATTGCTGTGCTAGTTAGTGCTAGATGCTCAAATTCGTGATCGCCCGGACTAATACTGAGACACTGATATGAGCCTGACCCTTGGGGA